GTCACGTGATCAAAATTAGGATTCTTGGCAACTGACTCATATTTATGACGATTGCAGTGTCCCAGCATCACATGATCCCCTTTTGTGACCTTCTAACAAGCAAAGTCAGTGGGGGAAGCCAGATTCACTTAACAACCCTGTTACTAACTTAACAACTGCAGTGATTTGGGCTCAATTGTGGTCGTAAGTTGAGGACTACATGTAGAGATCCTAAGCTGGCAATAAATCTTTATACTCATTTGAACTGCCTGAATCTCCCGATTTCCCCAGCTCTTGACTTTTGTTTAGCGACTGTTCCAAGTTACAACGACACTGAAAGAGTGACTTACGGCTGATCCTCGCACTTACAACCATTGCAGCATCCCCACAGTCACATGATCAAAATTGAGGTGCTATCATTTATAATGATAGTTGCATCCCAGGGTCCTGTGATCGCTGCAATCTTCCCAGCCAGCATTTGACAAGCAAAATCGAGAGGGAAAGCCAGATTCACTTAACGACTGCCGTGATTCACTTTAACAACCGTGGCAAAAAAAAGATTGCAAAATTGCGCACGACTCACTGTCTGTCTTAGCAATAGAAATTCTGGCCCTTATTACAGTCGTAAGTCGAGGACTGATCTGTAGTAGGCCTCCTGCTGCTGCTAAGCAGGCAGGCAAACAACTCCGGCATAACCGGAGCACCTGAGAGATTAATTAAGAGTGGTTTCCACTAATTACTTCTTCCTCCTAATTTGGGAAAAGTTTTTGGTGCTGCTGCCTAACCAAACTTTCATCAGAGTTCATTATCCTTGGCTTGAAAAACCCCCGGGACTGTGTGGTCCCAGAAGCTTTTGTGAGGGAGGCTGAAGCTTTTCCCAGAATCTACCTACCATATATCACATAGTTGGAAGCCCTAAAGATGTTCAGAGACATCGCAATTTTCACAACGTCTGCAGGAGTTTCACTCTCAGGTGTTGTAGCTGGACTCTCGCTGTCATTCAAGGCTTCAGGAAGTTTTGCCTGGCCAAAGCAAACGATCCCTTCGAAACAAGATGGACAGCAAATAAATTTAATACGGGTCGACCTTGACAACAACAGTTCATTTAGTGACTGAAGTTACAACTGCACTAAAAAAAAAAGGGGGACTTATGACTAAAAAGCAGAGACATCATCCTGCCAACAACATGCTTTGGTTTTAAATATGTTGTGCGCCGCCCTGAGTCCCGCAGGGAGAAGGGCGGCATATAAATTAAATTAAATAAATAAATAAATAAATAAAATAAATAAATAAAAGTGCGTATAGTCAAGGCCATGGTTTTCCCAGTTGCAATGTACGGCTGTGAAAGCTGGACCATAAGAAAGGCTGAGCGCCAAAGAATGGAGGCCTTTGAACTCTGGTGCTGGAGAAGACTCCTGCGAGTCCCCTGGACTGCAAGGCGATCCAACCGGTCAGTCCTAGAGGAGATCAACCCTGACTGCTCTTTAGAAGGCCAGATCCTGAAGTTGAAACTCAAGTACTTTGGCCACCTAATGAGAAGGAAGGACT